GATATATAGTGGATATGAACATTAGATAATATTCAAATATGTCTGTATCCAAGTAAATATTTACAGACAGTATCAGTATACATCACTAGTTATAAATGCAAAGTATATATGCACTTTAAAATTTTCTAATTTATAACATAAGCTTGCTGCTGCATAATATACCCAGAAGGTTTTAAATAAAACTTCAGATACTATAAGCAGTGCTATACTATATATGTTTGATTTTGTAACTTTGACTTACTGATTCTATTTAGATTCTTAGTACGTGAAATTGATGATTTTAATTCTACAGCTTATAGCTGTTATCATTATTCCTAAGACATCTTGTGATAAATTACCTAAATGATTATTCTGCCGATTTTACAAAGATAGTTTAAGCCAGATATATATATATATAGATATTAATTGATTTATAAAGCTTTAATTATCTTTATTTATAGTGTAGCAGTGACAATTATTAATTGATAATGTCCAGATAATCAATATCGATATAACTCTGATTAAGTATTCTACTTTAGAAACATATTTATTGGGAAAAAAATTTAAGAGTTATAAATTCGAACAACTGCTAAACACTTAGATATTAGCAGATCTTTAATAAGTCAAGTTTTTAACCAATTTCAAAAATATAAATGCATTGAAAGACTTTTGCCACTTGTAAGAAAATCACGTCTATTAAACCTAAATAATACAAAATATTTTAAGACTTTAATGAAAAAAATACCAAACTAATCTTTGTACAGTACGAGACAGTAAAAAGCATCCAATCTATACATAAAGGCACCAATTTTTGATGCTTATATAATCAATTTTGATTGGCTAATTTTTGTGTAATTGATTCTGATTGGTTAAAAATATATATATATATATTTTTTTTATATTAAACGCTAATTTTTTGAACTCATATAAACTTTAATTCTTTATAACTTTTTTAAGACAAAGAATAAAAAAAATCTTCTGACAGAAATATAGTTTATTTAAAAATCTATCAATTTGTTAGAGGGTTTTTTGATTTAGCTTGTTTTAAAAAAGTTATAATATTTTAAAGTTTTTACTAATAAATATTGGATGTGTTTTACTGTCCAGTATTATATAAGTTACAATTTGAAATAGAACTTTAGTTAGAATATGAAAGTAGAGATTATTTGAAGCCTGTAGTTTCACATGAATTTAATTTACAAATTGATTAGTACCTTTGTATATACCAAGCTTTAGACTATCTTCATAAATAATCAACATTACATTGATCATGCCGAAATCAATAATTTATTGAATCAGCAGAATAATCATTCAGTTAATTTTTCATAAGATGTTCTAGGATTAATAATAATAGCTATAATGATCTTTTATTCAAAAGCTAAGTAAAGTATTTAATACGAATAAAATTATATAAGAGCCGTTATATAAAGTAAATAAAAATTTATGTTCTTGGTTTGCTGATTTAATTTTATCTATAATAAACAATAATTATACTTGTGGCTGAGTGAATAATTTATATAATAGATATTAATTTTGCTTTATAATTACAATATTTTGTATCACTCTAGATTAGAAAAGGCAAGTTAAACCTTATCACTCTATTAGTAGCTTAATCTAGATAAGTTTAATAAGCAGCCAGAAATCTGCTTCTATCTCTCTCAGTTCTTAAGGCAAAGATTAAAAGGTAACTAGACTAAGATCAATAGTTAGGTGAGTAGTTTTTGACTAAGAAAAATAGAAGATTTGATGATTTTTAATTTCACTGATTATGATCATTATATTCTTAAGATGAGTAAGATAATTAATGTAAATAAAACTATTTGAAGAGATATTATAAATAGTAAATAAGTATTTATATAAACTTGATCTGTTGATTTAATCTACCATTAACTAATAAATAATTTTTATAGTTACAGATTAAATAATAATATAAATGAATCGATTTGAGAGGTATTATATAATGATAATTGGTATTAATTTGTGAAATTGATTTGATGATTTTAATTTTGTAGCTAATAATATTCACAAGCTAGATAGAATGATTAATGTAATGAAACAATTTGAAAAGCATTATGAACAAAATAAGTATTACCGTAAATATTTGAAAATAAACAACTTCTTAGAGCAATTTGTAAAGCCAAAATTCTCATTATTTAATGATTAGATCTGCATAATTTTGGTACAATTGAATCAACTTATTAAAATGATTTGAATGGTACCAAAATTACACAAATCTAATCATTAGATCACAAGAATTTTGGCTTTACAAATTGCTCTGAGAGGTTGCTTATATTCGGGACTTTACAATATATGAACTTGATCTGCTAATTTTTAATGCTACTGATTACTAAATGATCTTGATAGTTATAGACTAATAAAATGATTATTGTGGTTTGCAAAATTATGTAAATTTTATTTTTCTAATTACTAATTTCTGATTTCTTTAATATTTTTTTGACTTTTAGATTTGCATATCTATTATTTTGTAAAAATTTTATTCTTTTGTATAGAAATAAAAGCTGCTTATTTATTATTTTGCAAAACTAGAAGTTGTATATTAAAATATCTAATCAAATTTTTACAAATAAATATATGAATTTTCTAAAAGTCAAAAAAAATGTTGAAGAAATTAAAAATCAATAATTGGAAATTAGTAATTACTTTTTTTTTACTGATCAAATTTCATATAATTTTGCAATCCGCAATAATGTGAATAAATCGATTTGAAAAGTATTAGATAATAAGCATTTATGGTTTAATTTGTCTTGATTTAATAGTTTTAATTTCTTTATACTTACAAGCTGAATTATTTTTTCATACCGTATGAGCATAAAATAATATTATATAAGCATTATTTTAAAAATTAGATCTTTCAAAAACAAATTATCAGCCTAATGTAATTGTTTAGATTATATGTCTTTTTTTTATTAAGGCTGATTTTAATATTTTTTAGAAGTGATATTTACTAGATATACTTATTTTCAATAATTGGTATTTTGAAAAATGTTTAGTATTAGGATTCTGGATCAGAAAATCAAATAGATATAGCTGGTAATAAAATTGGCTTTTTTTAATAAGCATTTATCAGTATATATTTATATAAATTAAGTATATACTTTAAAAATATTGTATATTACTTCTTTTGAAATAAATATATTATTTTATTTTATTTAAAATCAGATATTGAATCAGTTCTAAAACTCTCAATTGCAAAAATACTTTTTAATATACAATAAAATAAATAGATTTTAAACTAATAGATGGTTTGTATGAAGTTTGTAGATTCTAAACTAGCAGGTGTTTGTAAGATCTAAACTAGTAGACTATTTGTATTGAATTTAAGAAATTTAAACTAATAGTTGGGTTGGTTAAATAGGCTCTAAACTAATATTTGAGTGGGCTCTAATATTTGAGACAGATGAGCTATAAACTAACAAATAAAGTTGAGTTTGTTTTAATCAATAGGTTGTAGAGTTAAGTCTTGAGCAGGATTTAATATAAATGAGCTAGTTTTTAATTAGATAAGTAAGCAAAGATTTGAAATAGTGAGTTAAATGAATTTGTAAATTGTAATGATCTTAAATTGCAAGTTAAAAAACTTTATAATATAAATAAAAGTTTATATAAAAATTTGTATATTTTTATATTAGAGTTTTTATATATTAAATTGCATCATATTTACTTAGTAATTGCAGATCATTTTGTTCTGTCAACTTACAGATTATCAATTAATATAAATCACCAAATATATTAGGTCTAAAGATGCAAATATTTAAAATCTTAAAGGTAACTACAACTACTCTCAGCACAACTATCATAGTATATAGCATATTTGCTATATAAGTAGAAGTGCTGAGCACCATATAAGTGATGTATGCTATATAAGTACAGTATACTAAATAAGTACTGTATACTATATAAATGCTATATATAGTATATAGTGGAAATAATATAATTATGTTATTTCTATTTAATCTAAGTTATGTCTGATGACAGGATCATATGCTTGTCATCATTCGAGTGATGAACGATTCGTGCTTGCGTTATCAGAGATATGTTAGTATTCACTCCATTATTCGAGTGACAAACGATTCACACTTGCATCATCATTCGAGTAATGACGAATTTGAGTTCACGTCATCATTCGAGTGACAAACGATTCACGCTTGCATCATCAGAAATATATTAGTATTCACTCCATCATTTGAGTGACGAACGATTCACGCTTGCATCGTCATTTGAGTGATGACGAATTTGAGTTCATATCGTCATTCAAGTGGTATTCTCTGATTTAGGTTATGCTCGAGTGATAACGAATTTGTGATCACTTTGTCATTTGAGTGATGACGAATCTTGCCAAAATTTTGTTAAACAAAAAATAACTAATATGCTAACGATGTATTCAGTCGCGTGTTGTTATTTGTGGGCCCGATGTGAGGGCTATGCCCAAACCTTGCACGTAGTACCAAATTGTTATCCTATTTGGTAATATGTCAAAGCACAAATTTATATTACCTTTTTCCTTATAATATTCTACCTTGACATATTACCAAAAGTTTGTTATATTTTTTAATTCTAGAACTCTTTCTTATATAATTAATGCTTTTGAATATTTTGCTTTATATTAAAAAAATTGGATTATATTTTTGATAACCTTGACGTATTACTGAATCAGCTATATTTTTGATAACCTTGACGTATTACTGAATCAGCTACATTTTTGATAACCTTGATGTATTACTGAATCGACTACATTTTTGATAACCTTGACGTATTACTTTTTTGATAACCTTGATGTATTACTAAATCAGCTACATTTTTGATAACCTTGATGTATTACTGAATCTGTTATATTTTTGATAACCTTGATGTATTACTGAATCTGTTATATTTTTGATAACTTTGATATATTATTGAATCGGTTATATTTTTAATAACCTTGACGTATTACTGAATCAGCTACATTTTTGATAACCTTGACATATTACTTTTTTGATAACCTTGACATATTACTAAATCGGCTACTTTTTTGATATTCACTTTTTTTACTTGACTTGGTGATCCACAAAAGTATAATTTTATTGCTTTGCAATGTATCTGTAATAATTATACCTTGGTAGCCCAAATTTTTTTGGCATAAGTTATCTCTACTTGAAGTATACTACTACATACGCATTATATTCAAAACTATATCGAGATCAAATCATGTAATACAAAAATGGTTATTGGATAAATTACCTTATATTATATCAAAGTACTTACATACTAATTGCAATAGGGCAAACATGTAAATCAGGTGAGAGAACCACCTGTGACCCCAAAACCCTCTTTGTATAATCCGGGTATCAAGTATAATAATTTTTATTTGAATTTTTTCTTATACTTATTTGTAAGAAGTGACAAAAACCCCTTACCTAAAATGTATAGCTAGCTTAATATAACAATCTCTCTGCTCTGAAAATTACTATTTAGCTAGGTTATATATATTTGATAAGAGCCAAAGATTTACTTTTCAGCTCTTTTTTGTGCAGAGTAGTAGAAACTTTCATTTTAGCCTCAAAATTTCGCTTATATTCTAGGAAATCTGCTTCATTCATACTCTCGCGCTCTTTTTTTCAATAAGTATAGTTATTCTGCATTTTAAAGGCAATCTTGGCTCACTATTGTTCCAATTTTTCTTTCGACATTTGGAATTTTTGCTGTAAAAGAAGGATAAAAGCATCTATATCAGATTCATTTTTAATAAGAAATTCTGAAGATAGAGAAGTTAAGGATTTGAGTTTTTTCTCTACCATGCCGGCTTCACTAATAGTAGTATCAACATAGCATCTATCTTGGGCAAGATCAGCAGATTGATTATGGGCTGACATTTCTAAAGATAAAGCTTTTTCATCAATTGTATTACTAGATGAATCAGAAACTTTATGCTCTATTAGAAAGCAATGGCTCTTCGAGCTTACATAATCTGAAATAGTATTATTAGTAATAGGTACAGAATCAAAAAAATCCTAAATCTCATCATTTATCTTTGGCTTATATGATGGAAGAAGTGGATTTATAGGGCAATATTCAGGATTATTTAACTTTCTAGCCATTACTTCTTCTTGATTATCAAAACCATGACTATTATATAGCTTTCGATTAATTTGATATAAATACTTCCAAATTTGTTGTCCTTTAGATCCTACTAATTTTGTTTACTTCTTATAGTATAGCCACACCAATTGCCAACAATTGCATTGATTGCTTTTATAGCTAAGTTGAGATCTGGTA